CCGCAAGGCGACGCTGACCAAAAGTACCTGCAGAACGGCCTTTGCATGCCAGGAAGAAAAAGAGCCGTGCCCTTCTGGTGCGCCTTTCCGTAGCCGGTTTTTGTAGGTTTCGGTTTAAGTTTTCCGTGATTTCGGTTACATCTCTTTTTGGTTTCCGTTGCAGTTTTGCTTGGTTTCCGTTACAGCCGCGCATTGTTTCGACTCGCCGGGCCGTCGTTTCCGTTACATTTTCTTTTGCTTTCCGCTACATTTTGCCGTTTGTTTCCGTTACAACCTTTTTTAGTTTCCGTTATAGCGGCCACCCTCCTTTCCACAGTTCCCTCGATATGCCTGCCCTCAAATCGAGGTCTCAAGAAGAACTCTTGAATATGTCTTGATTGCAACCCTCCATTTCCTCTGTGTCTTGATTGGAAAAGTTACTCAGCAAACGTTTGCTAGTCGACAACAGAGGGGGGGGGGTGGTGGGGGGGCAGGGTTCGCACATCTTAAGACGAGCCTTTGCTACCAAACGTGTTCGACTCCCCCCCTCCCTCTCTCTCGAAAACAGCAAAGCGTAGACAGCAAAATAAGCAGCACTCCAAAGGCGTAGAACAAAGCAAAGAACAAAACAACACAAAAGCATAACACAACAGGGCAAGGACAAAGCCACAACAAGAAGCAAAAGCAAGATGCATAGAAGCAGAAGGCAAAAAGGCATAAAAGACAGCACAAACACAAGAAAAGCAAGCCACAGAACAAGCGCAAAGCCACAGAAAACTGGGAACAGGTGATTGGAACCAATAGCTAGATCGTAAGCCCTTTCAAATTCGTACAAACTCAGCTTCATGAACTAACCAATCCGAAGTACAGATTCCCGAAGTGACATCTGTTTTCGGCGCCACAGAAGTTGCAGAAGCCACTGGCCTTACACGGGAGACAGGTTTTGCCATACACGGCCTTTACCATGTTCGAAGTCAAAAAACGCAGGATTGGACCAGACGAGCTGCCAGCCGTTCTCAGGATCTGGGATTCACATATTCATGAGCTTGAGTATGCTCAAGTCTTAGCTTTGATGTTCCGAGCACGACTTGTCGCAGGCAAGTGCAGGCATGTTGCCATGTTGCGGCTTCTTGCCGTTGGCCGCACAGGTGCGGGACCTGATGACCAAGTTCGATGGCTGGACACTCAATGTGTTTTTCAGTTTTGACCTGCTGCTGGAGCTTCATGTAGACTAATCGAAAAATAAAACAGCAGGCTCGTGGATTCGGCCAGGCTTGGCCCGGATCTACAGTTTCAGGATTTCGGGGTTTAAGTTTTAGGGCCTAGGGTTTAAGTTTAGGGTTAGTAGAGTAGGAAACTACTGTTTGCTAAGAAACAAAAACATAAAAGATAATCATCCCTATATTGTCCTAGGAAGAACATTTTTTGTTGTCGGAGGGTTCTTAAGCAGTTAGCATCAACTAACAATCAAATTAAGTTTCGGGGGTGCGGAAAATAACAACAAAACATACAAACAAGGGAGGCTGGAATGCCCACGGCCCGGAAAACGAATGACCTCCAAAATCAAAAGAAAATCGAAAAAAAAAAAAAAAAAACAGGTTGGGAATTTTCGGGGACACGGAAAACACAAAAAAAGAAACAAAGCATAATCGAACAAAAAGTAGGCTTGAGTTCCCGGTAGTGCCGAAACTTAAAAAGCAGAAAACACATCGAACAGATTGCAAAAAATAGGCCGGGGTGCCGAAAATGCAAAAAACCCAAAGAATAAAACGAACAACGAAAATGCAGCCGGGAATCCGCCGGGGGGGGGCAATTTCCGGGCTTGCAGGAATTCCAGGCTATGTTGAATTTAGCAATTAACTAGCGCTACGTGACCCGCCTCGGCCTGGCCCAATGCAGCTCCTGGAGAGGGCATGGGAGGGGGTGGGGTTGGGGGGGGGGGGGGGGGGGGGGTAGTTTTCTGATCACTAATTCCTTATTTGACAGACAAAACAACCAAACAGACTTGCATAATAAAATCCGCCGAGGCCTCGGGCCGAAGGTGTCGAGGTTGTGAGAACAGGCACCCCCCTCCAAATCCTCCCCCCATGTCGGCCCCCTTTTTTTGCCTGGAATGGGTACCCCCTGTAGGCGATCAGGGGGCAGCTGCGCTCCCGCTCTAGTTTCTGGCACGAAAAAAACGCACACCTGCAACAAGGAGGGACATTGAGGTTGTGCATGTTTGCTCATCCTGCCGAAGTTTAGAAAGTATGTGACCAGCTGTGTCGCACGACCTTGCAGCTGGCTCGGCTGCGACGCCCAAGCAGTTCCCAGATACAAAACAATTATTCAACAATTGATTCTTGAAACTGCTGCTGACTTCGAACACGAAAGGCGATTCGTGCAGACTGGAGCAAGGTCTGTATGCCCCAATACTCGTTCTGGCATGTGCTGACCTTTAAACGGTTTGCCGCACGCCGAGGAAATCGGGATGGTGGGCTACAGCGTGAGGAGCTTCGCAAACTACTTCAAGACTTAAACGACGGCATGGATGTGGACGACGCCGAGGTGGACTATGCATCTGGACCCGGGATCACACGAGTTTTTGACAGTGGAGTTGTTGCGTTGAGTTTGTGGTGACCTGTTGGTCTCAAGAGATCTCAAGTCACATTTAGCCCTCCGGTGTTGTCAACTCGTTGAGCTAGTCTCTGCATCATATTGCTGAGGTAATGGAAGAAGCCGACCTCATGGGAAATGGTGATGGCCTTAGCCAAAACATTCGACTCAGCAGAAGTGCCCATGTGCGTGCATGAGGTGTGGTCACTTCAATGGAGCTGAAGCGAGCAATTGCTTTCTGGTACGGAAACGTGCATCATCAGCGAGTAAGCTCCTTGTTTTGCAACTTTGCCACTGGTCGAGCCTAATTAGCAGCGATTGGCAATGCTGAGCCGTCTCCTGACTCTGTGAGCTGAGGTAGCCGCACGTGTTCACTCTTGTAGGTGCTCGGTGCACCTTGCTTCGAAGTGATCGTGTGTGGGAGCTGAGATGCCCGAGAACTGACCACATAGGAGGTCTTTCCGTGCGGTCTACGCCAAGTTTCAGTGTAGTCTGCAGCAATACGAATGCCTGCAAAGACGGGTTGGATTCCAGGACTCTGCGACAAAATTTCAGCTGAGAGTGTGTCCACGGCATGCCCATGCACTTGTGCGCCTACTGTAGACAATCTCCTGCTACAAGGAGTCCACGCATCGCGTAAAGTCATGGTGCCTGTCTACAAACCCACACACCCATGACGCCCATGACGGCCACACTTGGCCTGGCCTGAGGGTTGGAACGCGCGCTTCAGGCATATCGCCGGGGGGGGGGGGGGGGGGGGGGGGGGGGGGGGAGGGCCCTTCGCAGCTGGATTAGGTTCGTCAATTGTTGGACGATCCATATTCCTTGTACTACGTTTGGATACATATCATCGTGTGTCCCATGTACGCCGTGTCCGCAATGTCCGAGGTCTTTGTGTCACGTCACAGGTAAGGCCATGATTGATCGGCAAGCTCTTGCCTGCAAAGCCTCGACTGCCGCCTGATGCTGTTCCTGTTGTCAGATGGTAGAGAAGTAGAGTAGTCAATGTAGCGTTGAACAGAGCACGGGCCAATGGACACGGATGTCCGGCCGTTCGCAAGCTTGGTGAACGAGCCCGGGCCGGTAGTTCCTGTTGGGCCCAACGAGGCCGCAGAGATACCGGAGGCGTCTCCGGCAAAGGCCAGTGAGGGATTCGAATCTGAAACCGGCAGTGCAACGGGCAATGCTCGCGTGCGCCTGGCTGCTTACATGGACTTCAGGGATGAGGGGATTGAAGAAGAAGATGATGATCAAGATATAGACATGACTCTGCTCCAAGAGGAGAACATGGAGATAGATGAAGCTCGGTCTTCGGCACTCTTGGAGGCCCTTGGCAAGGAGAACGGGGAGGAATCAGAACAGGACCCATTCTCTGTGGCGCCTGGAGTCACATCATTCACATTTATCCGAACAACCCTGCAGCTTCTCAGCAGGGGACTTGTTGCCAAGAAGCTGGATGCATCCAACAACTTCGAAATATCATTTGATTTTTTTTTGCAGCAAACCGCCAAAGAGCGTAGAGGTGTGGCCCACTTCTCCGTAGGAGGATCCATCAACAGCCAACTGCCACGCATTTGCATAGCTCCTGGGTCGACGAAGTTGTACTTCTTCTTACGGCAGGGTTCTTTCCGTGCAAAGTTAGCCACAGCTCCGATTCCGCGGAACCGACTTGTCCGGATCACCTTCCGGCTCGTCCAACATGTGGTCACTGTTTTAGTCGATGGTTCAGAGCAAGCTGTGGCTTCGGCTGAAGGCTTGCAGGTGCCCGTCCCTGCAAAGATGTTTGCGTACTTCAATGGGCCAGGCGACGTAGCAGCAGATGCAATGGTAGGAAATTCATTGTACCGTTGGCGCCACTTTGCATTAAGACCGAGAGTGCAGGCGACTACAATATTCGAGCTGCCGCCGGATGAAATCCAGTTGATGGTAGAAGTGACAGATGAGCTTGCAAGAGCCAAGAAATGGGCAAAGTTTGATGCTTTCTTTGGTGTCATCGTGTTTGCGAATGCAGTCTCCATGGGCATTCAGACAGATTGCCGTTGCGAGAATGATGTGGTGTGGCAAGTGTTGGACAACGTCTTCCTTGTTGCCTTTATCATGGAACTCATTCTGAGAGCAATTATCAGCGGCCTGCGGTTGTTTGGCACCATGCTGGTGCGTGATCATTGGTTACAACTTGATGTCATGGTTGTCTCCTTGACAATTGTGGACACCTGGGTTCTGGGCGATCTTGGTAGTGGTGGAGTGTTTGCCCTTGCTCGCTTGTACCGCTTGCTTAAGCTTGTCAAGATGGTGCGCCTGCTTCGCTCCTTTCGTCAACTTGCAATGCTTGTTGAGGGAATATTGAGCTCCTTGCAGACTTTGTTTTGGGCAGTACTACTGCTTGCTTTGAGTATTTTCATGTTCTCCGTGCTCCTTGTGAGGATGGCACAGTGGGATTTGACTGCTGTGCAGGGTGCTTCGCTTCCTTTCGCTTCTCTTCCAACAGCCATGTGGACGCTGGTTCAGCTTGCCACTTTTGACAAGTGGGTGGGTTTAGTTCGCAGCGCTGCGTTGCAGCTTGGTGGATTGCACGGTGGAGCCATTGCTGTTGTTCTTTTAGTTTGTGTGTGCCTAACTGGGCTGGGCATCATGAATCTGGTAGTCGGCATCTTGTGCAACACTGCTTTCAAGCTTGAGTCTCGCCAAGTTCGGATGGTGGGAGCTGAACGCCTTCTGAAGCAGCAGGGGGCTCTCGAACTGTTCCGTCAGCAGTTGCTCAAGCATGGGACGCACCTGCTCAAGAACCCCAGATACATAGCGAAGGACGAGTTTTTTGAAGCTTTGCAAGACAGCAGCATCAAGGAAATCACTCAGATCTTAAACCTCACCGACAAGGACTTCGCAATGTTGGTATCTGCGCTTGAGGAGAACAACGACATAGAGATCGATGGCATCATTGAAGCCATTGGCATCATCGAACTGCAGTCCTACTTTGCACAGAGCGTAGCAAACAGTGTCAAGAAACACAAGGCGGCGACAGCACTGAGACCTGTTGACCTGCTGTTCTTTTGCATCAGTTTAAGGCAGTTGGAAGCTTCCATGGACAAAGTTGAGCGCAATGGGCGGAGCATGTGTGCATTTGCCTATGATGCACTGAGTATTTTATATGCCCGGGCGGAGGAGTCATACACTCTTCTCAGACTGAATCACGATGTGAAATGGACCCCTCCGGCATCAAAGATGGAGTTGACGCAATCATCTCTGAATGTTCGGAAGATGGAGGAGACTGCAAACCAGTTCAACCTTGACGCGGAGGAACAGAGGCTTCTTATGCCGATCGACATTTCGTTTGGCAGCGTCATCACCGTGAATGGTGCCTTTGTTGGCGTACAAACAATGCAAGATGATGGAAACGTGCTCGTCTACTGGATTGACTTGGGTTTCACATTCTTGTTCACCCTTGAATTCATTCTCCGAGGTGTTCTAGCAGCTAACCTGCACTATGTTCACCAAGCAGAGGAGGGGGACAACGATTTGAACTTCTTCCAGCAAGCCAGCAGGAAAGTCGCTCGCTTCGCCAGCTTGAAATCCAGAATGCGTTGCTGGGTGTTGCCACCTTGCCCGCCTGGTGGGGTTGTCAGCGTTCTTTCTGCCACTTGCCGAAGCCTCAGAGAGTTTTCGGTCTTTTTCGACTTCACCATCATTGTGCTGTCGCTCCTGGATTCCTTAGTTATAGTTCAGCTTCGCAATGCTGGGGTACTGGAACTTGACACATCGGCACTTTCGGTGCTGCGGGCGTTCCGTTTATTTCGACTGGCGAAGTTGCTTCGTATATTCAAGCTCTTCCCACAACTGCAGAAGCTAGTGTTCGCATTGATTGAGACCTGGAGACAGGTGTTCTGGGCGCTCGCCTTGATTCTCCTACTCCTGTACGCGTTCTCCATCTACGCAGTTTCGATGATCGGTGCAGACGCAGCTGAGGGTTCCACTTCGAAGTCGTATTTTGGCACCTTGACAAAGTCTCTCCTCACAGGTTGGCAAGTAACAACTTTCGACCGCTGGGATGAGGTTTTGTATACATCCACAGACAACCTTCTACATTTCTGCGTGCTTTTGTTGGTGGCCGTTGTGCTTGGGCTGGGTTTGATGAACATGGCGGTCGGCGTCGTTTGCGAAGCTGCGATGAGCCTACAGGCCAAAGAAGATGCAGAGGTACAGCGGGCGGAGCTGATTGCTTTCCTCTCAGCTATGAAGAATCTCCAGGAGACTTGCGTGCGAGAACTCGGAGATCAATTGCTGACAGCGGAACTCATGGAAGATGCCATTGGCTTGAGAATGAACCCGTCATTCAGGCGGCCAAACGCTGGCGCGGGCAGCGTGAGCAGTCAGCCACCTCTTGCTAGCGATCAACTTCAAACTCTTCTGAGCTTTGGCCAAGTCAATGGGAAGTTTTGCTAGCGACGCACAATGTTTTTCAACTAGCATGCTTCTGGGCGAAACGTTGATTTCAGACAAGGTTTCATCATCGTTTTGCACTTGCGATGCTACCAGTGCATCCTTTGGTCAGAGCATCCGTGCCCGAACGATAAGAACATCCATATTGGCAGTGTATTCGTTGGCCAGAGCCTCCATGTCAGAAACCTTGCACGCTCAAACTCCAATTGGGAAACCAAAAAATGCGCACCCAACAAGTTCGAACAAATGCGTGCTACCAGAATTCAAAATTCACATGCCGCCAAGTTTCTCCAAAATGTCCGTTTTGCCTGGGCGAAGCGCGCGTTCCAACAAAAGCAAGGTGAACGACCCTGGAGAATGTGCAAGGATATGCAAAGTTGTTTGGGTTGTGGAATGCAATTTCAATGTTTCTGTGTGCGGTTGCTCTAGTTTGTCGGCTTGGATGGAGAATCCGCATCATTGGAGAAGGTTGTTTTGAAAATTCTGGTATTTAAGGGGAATTCGCAGGTTCAGAGAGTTCAGGGTACACGGTCGTTGGCTAGCAGGAAAGTGTGCGGCTTCAAGGTTTTGTATTTGTGTGAAAATACATTTACAGCGACTTTGCAGGTTCAGTGAGGTTTTGCAAGGCGTTCATTTCGACATTTCGAAAGGGTTCAGGGTACACGGTTCAGGGTTAATAGAACCATGCGACTTCAAGGTTGTCTACTTGAGGCATTTGGGCTTGACCCCCGCCGCACTTCCCCCCCCTTCCCTCCCCTCCCTCCCCCCTACCCCCCCTGCCCCCCCTCCCTCCCCCCTCCCCCCCATGAAACCATGCAAGAACAGTGGAGTCGCTAATGGCGCCGGAAGCAAAAAGTAGATTGGTTGCTGATTCTTTTTTGCCGCAGTTCCGAACTTCTGAACTCATACGAGGCCAAAGCTCAAGGAATTTCTGGGAGACGCCGGTCTACATCGACTTCTTGTGAAAAGAGTGCGCGACAAAGTTGATCATGGGAGAACTGGACAGGTCACAGCGACTTGGCACATTGTAGTTGCTCGGGCGTTGCCTTGTGGATTTTGATAGTGCTTGCATGTGGCTGTACTTAGCTGCCCTACTCAGGTGGATGACTTTACGAAGGGCGCCCTGGTCACCAAAGAGGACTTAGCCAAGGTAGAGCTTTATGGTTGCACCGTGGCTTTGCGAGAGGTTCGCGAGAAATGCCTAAAAATGAACGAATGCATTCTGAATATTCACATGTCGCTGCAGCTTGTTCTGCAAGAGATGTGCGCGGTCATCCACCGCCAAGAAGCAGCTGATGATCCGGGCACCCCTAGTGCAATGCATGCCGACAGTGCCGAATATGACCCCAGCACTTTGCGACCAGAGGCTGAGAAAGCTGTCGTTGAAATGGGCAAGTGGTCTGGTGAAGGAAGCCTTCCGCAGATTCTCAACATGGGCACCCTTTTCGTGAGCGCCGGCACTGGGAAAATCAGGATTTCTGGTGATGAGGTCGTTGGCTTTGGCACAGCTTTTCGAGCCGAAGTTCAAGTTGGTGACATTATCATCGTCGAGCCCCTCGTCGCACAGAAAAATGGAGACACTGCATCGAAAAAGACTTTTGCCCTTGCAGTCACTGTGGTCCTGTCCCAGACGCGACTCAAAGTGGCAACATTTGTGACTGAATCGCTGCCTGAAAATATCGTCTTTGTCGTTGCCAGATGCAGGAGGGTGGCGCAGATGGCAAAGGCTCCCACACCATTTTCTGCCATGACAGCACATGCGCCAAAGCAGATCTCGCCCCGAAGCTCGCAACGTTGGTTTGCATGGGACCTTCAGACACAGAAGCGGGATAAAGTTAATTTACAGGAGGCGGAGGCGCACCATTCTTACCTGAAAAGGCTCAAGAAACAGGCTGAGTTCGAGCTGCTAACAGTCCTGGAGCGTCCACTTCTGAGGATGTGCTTTCAGGCACTGAAGTCCCAGGTCCGACTCAGACAAAAGACTGTCTCCTTGCTGTGGTAAACGCATGTAAAAACATGCAGCGGCAGCGACTGGATGTTATCAAGTTATCCGCATGTACGCGGGCTTGTTTCACCTCTTACCCATTAATTTCGTCTTACGTCAGAAGACGTGGCGTTGCATCTCTTTCAGTTCTAGCCGAGCAATGTCCTTGGCAACGGTAAAAGCAACTGTGTGTGTGTGTGTGTTTCTTTTCTGTGTGTGTGTTTGCGCGCAGGTTAGCGTGGTGTGACATACTTGTTGGCAAAGAAAAGCAATGGGGATCAACTCTGATTGGCACATGCAGAGCCTGCAAAAGGTTGCAGAAGCTTCGGCAGCACTGGAGACTGTTTTGACGCACGTTGGGCGGATGTTCTTGATGGCTTGACGTGCCAGTCGTGTGCGCATGCAGGGGAATATTGCGGAGTATTTGTGGGTTGGCCCAGACATGAGCTCTTGTAGACTTGTAGCATCTTGTAGCGCAGCGTGGACAATGTAGAGGCGACATGTCGGTCATTCCAGTGGACGCGGCGCCCGTATGCCGCATGCTTTTTGCTGCACTTGTAGTGGTCATGCTGCCGGAGATCGTGGCCTTGGCAGCATTTTCCAGCATGGGGGTCGCACCACAGGTTGCCGAGAGCGTGGCTCTGGGCACAGCTGACATGGCGGGCAACGGAATGGCTGTGGTGTGTGCAGTTGTGCTGGCCTTTGCTTTTGTGATTGATGCTCATCGTCGACCTGTATGCATTAAACTGGCGGTAGCATTGGTGTCTACTTGTTGCTTCTTGGCAGCAGCGACGCTAAAGTACATCAGCTATCCCTGGCTGGGTGGCTTTGTGTGCTTCGGCATTGCAATAGCCTCCATTGCGTACCTGCGAATGTACCTTTTCAAACCAGCCACAGTTCCAGGCCAAGACTTTTTCAGCACAATCGCCATGAGCTTTGTCTTGGCTGCCTTTCTGCTCATATCAGCTTGGATTGGGTGGCAAGGACTCACAGACAACACCTGGAGCTCTTCAACGAAAGGTCGCCTGGCAACTAGCAACGGCGCGGTGTACACTTACTTTTACGACAATGAATCCTGGGAGTTCCAGAACTACTGCGCCATCAATGGCACCAATGTAAGCCTTCCATCGAATTTGACTCAGGACGAAACTACTGCCATCGAGTCCGCATGCCAGAAGTCTGAGACTGTCTGGTTTCTGCAATGGGCGGCGCCCTGTGCCTTGGGGATTTGCAACGCCATCGTTGCTGCAGTATGTTGGGTGTTCTCCAAAGCAACCGCTGCGCTTGAGCTTGGTGGAGAGGGTGATGCCCAACACTTTCAGAAGGTATTGAAGCTCTGTGCATCTCTAATTGTTCTGATGCTGGGGATGATGTATAGTGCACAATATGTGTCCGGTGCAGATGTCACTGCCACTCGTCCTCAGTAATTTTGAGAAACTCCATGGGTTTGGTCAGTTTCTTTCTTTTGTCTTTCAGTCAGCGAAACAGCATCTGCATTGCCCAATCAAATCCTTTGCAGTCATCTTCAGGTGAGCTCTGCCCTCCTTGCACTGGGAGCCGGTTCCATGACATCAATACTGCTGTTCATGCTGCTTGAGTTCGGATTTGACAGACTGCACGAGAGTACTTCGCAAGATGGGATGACCAAGAATTTGGTTGCCATAATCAAATCTGACTGGATGAAAGCCTTGGTCATTGGCGGCTTGAACGTGTTTGTTCCTATCTTGGTGGTTCTAGACAGGGTCCGGCAAAAGGTCCGGCGATGCACAGGCTTGGTCCCGGCAAGTGACCCAAATTCATTCACGCAGGAAGGTCGTCGGATCATTGCAGAGCTCAAAACGTGGGCTTGGTGCAGCATTTTTCTGAAGATAGATCTCTTAGGTGAGATTTTTGTATCCCTCATTGTCGGCATGAAGCTCACAAACGTTTTCTTTTCCTGGTTGAATGAGACACTGGCTGCTGCGGGGCTGCCATTCGCGGTTCTGTCAGCCTTGGTCTTGGGCGTCTCATTGGGGATGTTTTTGTGTCCAATTGTGCCAGGCAGCGCCGTATACTTGTTCTCTGGTGTTATTTTTGGTGCACAGTCACAGCTGGATGGCTCAGTCGGATTCGCTTTTGGTGTCATCGCATCAGCAGCTTTAAGCTCGGCAGCAAAATTGATGGCTTGCTGCTTGCAGTACGGCATGGGCTACATGATGGGCCAGTCCGTGAAGGTACAGCAGTTTGTTGGTGTTGACAAAGTACCAACCCGAGCAATGGAGCAGATTCTCAGGCAGAGTGGTTTGAAACCTGACAAGGTTGCTATTCTTGTAGCTGGCCCGGATTGGCCAACCAGTGTTCTTTGTGGCATTCTTCGCTTGAACATTCCTCAGATGTTAATGGGCACCATGCCGGTTATCCTTGTGAGCATTGTTCCTCAAGTACTCGTGGGTGCCTTTCAGACGCTTGCAGACGGCACGTCTGGCGTCATGGGCATGGTTTCCAGCCTTGTTACCATGGCAGCAGCAGTTGTTCAAGCACTTGCTATGTTTTTCGTCAGTTACCGGATCATGAAAGTCATTGAGGATGATGGAGAAGCTCTTGCCAGACCTCGTGTGGAGCATGCAGCTGTTGCAGAACTCACACGGCAAGAGGCTCTGTATACTGAAGCATTACATAACGCGAGCGAATGGTCGAATATGCACTGCGGCCAGAAGTTTCTTGCATTCGTTTCGGCCGCCTGCTTGTTGGTGGCTGGCTTCGCTCTGGCAGCCGACTTCTCACTTACGGAGAAGTTTTGCTTCAGAAGCTTCAGTATCACAAGCAGCATTGGCTCGGCAATTGCAATGGGTGGCTTAGGTGGCAGCGTTGCGAATCTAGTCATGCCGGTGGGCTGGCTGGCACTGGGCATTGCCTTAGCTGGGTTCTTATTGCACATGACCCTTTCAAAGTGGCTTGGCCGCTGTGCTCGTTCTCAGCTTGGAAGGACACCCCCTGGTCAGCCAAAGGGCTCAACCATTGTTGGAAAGGCTCAGATGCCTCTCATGAGCAAAAGAGACACGGAGTGAGGCGGCAACGGTCTACAAAGAAATGAAATGCTGGTTTCACTTGCCATTGGCATGAAGACTTGCACACCTGTACAGCGGTGCTTCTGCGCATTGATGTCGCAAGAATAGTCTCTCACCTGCGCGCCGAAGGAAAAGAGCCTCAAATCAGAACCGTACGCGGCAACCTTGTACAGTAGCGTTGAATCTGAAACAGGGGACGAGCCGTCACATGTTCACATTCTTGTTGGAGTTGCCTTCCCTGAAAAATGGCGGGCTCTGAACTGTGAACGGCGATGCGTTGCTTTGTTTTGCAGCCTGAGGATCGAAAACTCTTACTGCTGAGGCCGTGCGCTTGGTGTCTACTTTTGGGGGGGGGGGGGGTCGTGTACGCCTTTATATATACGCCTTTCTGCGGTTCATGGCCAGATCGTGTGATCGGTTAGGCAATATTAGGCAATGCTAGGAGTCGGAGAGAGTGTAATGGGGCCTTCAATCCATGCTTCAAAAGGCAACAGAGCTGCTTCTCACATCGCCAGGTACTAGTCATCAAGAATTCCGCGACATTGTCAGGATCCACCAAGCAGCCCCTGACTTCCAACACTGCATACAGCACAAACTCTCTCTCCGAATGCCACTGACTGATACTTGACTGACTCTACACGTCAGTTAGCCTGCGGCCCCCCGCTCGGACCCGTCTGGCCTCGATCTTGGCCCTCAAAGTCTCGGCTGTAAGGTCGCAGTTCTTGCTCAGAAGCGCTGATCATGGAGGTTCACTGTTAACCTCTTCCATCTCTTCCGTAGTGCTCCTTCTAACACCATCTTGTAGGTGCTACTGAGAGGTCATCAGTAGGTCAGGCGATCTGTATTTCGAGAGCTTTCAAGGTTCAAGCGAGCGGTGATCATCATGTTTGTTTTCAACATTTTCCCCTTCGAGGGTCCTCATCGTCAGCACCATCATCACCATCAAAATCATCATCACTCATCGTCATCATCATCACGAGTCTGACTCATCACAAACCTGGCGCGCCACTGTTTACACATTCGGGTATTGATTGGGATGCGCAGCATACAGGCACATGAAAGCCCAGTGCCTCGCACACACCACCACACAACGCAAGGTGTCCAGAGAAGTCACAACCGTTCGGATCCGGGTCCTTCTTGTCCTCCGAGGCACGTTGAAGTCCTCACGGATGAAGATGCACTTGTCCTTCAAGAGCATGCGCACAAAACACAGCTTGCAGCCTTGGATGTCTGCCAAAGAAACGTCCCTTATGGTCGCGGGAAGTTTCTGAAAAATGTTCCCAATCCCGGACCGCATGAAGACAGTCAGTCATCTACTGCATGGCCTGAAGTGCACGTCCTCAGCATGCCATACGCAATCCCTCCGACCTTGCAGTTCTTTCCGCTTTTGTTGCGATTCCTCAATCTGCTGACAACAGTCTCCGAGCCATCCCTGGCCAAATTCTCAAGGGCCACAAGACATGTCTTCATTGCTGTCAGCTCATCGGCCAGCGCCCCCACTCAGACCTGGCTTCAAGTTGTGGCAGCTGTTCCGTGCTGTTCATCAAAGCCCCCGAAGCCTTGTCAAGGTGGCTCGTGGATTTCACCACGGCACTTGGGGCATGAACGGTAGCTTGTAAGAGCTCATGACTTTTAGAACAGCCATCGGGCCTCGTCTGCGTAGGTTGTTGCCTCTGGGCCGTGTAGATGAGCGCAAGACAATTACTCCGCGCAGTTTCATTCGATGTCAAAATGACAGCAAGGCTCCCTGTTCATCTCTGCGCGCAGGTTCTGCATCGGTTCCAAACAAAGCCCCCGTTCATTTGTTTCGTTTTGTTTCGCAGCTTAAAACGCATGGCCCACGGCATCCAAGCTGCATGCAAGAAAGTACTTTTGGATACAGAGGTTCGTTTAGGATTGCGTGGCCTTCGAGGGCTCGCAGTACCAGCACCGGCTGAGCTGTGGAGCGCGAGGCAGGGGGACCCGAGTGACCCGAGTGTCTCTTGCATCGACGCGAGCTACAACTGCGTCTTCCTGGCAGCAGGAAAATGGAGGGTGTGTGTTTTTCGCGGCTTTTTGGTTTGAGGTTCGGGAACCCCCTTTTTTCATCTTTTTTCCCCATTTCAGCCGGAAAACCTCTGTGTTCTCTATATTTTGCACCGGAAAAAGCATGTTTTTTCTTTAGGATTTACTAGGAAGGCTTCCTTTTTTCGGAGAGAGAGGGCCTGGGGCTGGGGAGGATCGAGGAAGAAGAGGATGGAAAGAAAGAAGAAGGAAACACAGAAAGAAAGAAATAAAAAAAGGAATACGTTTAAAAACAGGAAGAAACGAAGAGAAGAAAGGAAGAAAGGAAGAAGAGACGAACGAAAGAAAGGAATTGTTGTTACCAACCCAAACCCCGTGGGGGGGGGGGGAACCTCCCCGCTTTGTCATTAACTTCATGCCTAGAGGAGAACTTGCATTAAAAGCATCGGAAACCTTTCCAAACCTGTCCTGCGAGCATTGTGCATTGCAACTGGCAGCCTTCCCTAGCCCCGCCCCCCCCCTCTGCTCTTTTGCCCAGAAGCGATGGAAAGCATCGGAGTCCTTTCCAAAACCCGTCTTGCGAGCGTGGTGTTTGCAACTGAGGGGGGAGGGGAGGGACACGCAACCCCCCCCCCCCTTGTTTTTAACTGCATGCCCAGAGGAGAGCTGGGATTCGCATTCAACAGGTAGCTTTCCGTGGTGTTCCCTAATAAAAATACTATACTATTGCCAGTGTATTTTAGTGGGTTTTCCTCTAGGGAATACTCTATTGCCTCTGAGTTTGAATAGGATTCCTGCTAATTTTCAAAGGAGTCGCATGACTTTTAATAAGAACCTTATTGCCTGTAATCGAAATTCATACTACTTTTTTGGGCTGTTTCCTGGGTTTCCCGAGGAAAACCTCTATTCCCTCCATTTCTTATTAGTAGCAGGATTCCTATGAGTTTTCATAGAGTTCTAAGTTCACGAAGACCCCGATTATTTCTGATTGAGTTCTTATTCGTCAAATCGGTCTCTAATTTTTCTATAGGTTTTCATAAGATTCTTTTTGAATTTCCGAAAGCCTTATTCATTCTAATCGAGTTCTTATTACTTCTCATCGTATTCTTCGTCTTCATTTTAATAGGGTTTCAATTTACTAACATTGCTAACACAATGCTCACATGCATGAAGTTCAAAAACACAGCGCGGGGTTGGGGGGGCGGGGTTAGTGGCGCAGCCCCCTCCCCCACCAGTTGCACACACAATGCTCCCAAGACACGGTTCCATGAAAATGAGTGGGACTCCTATAATACATAGGCAATAGAGTTTTTCCTAGGGAAACTACACGACAAATTAATGCGAATCCCATGACATTAATAGGAACCGTTTTTCCCGAATCCGACCGTTTAACCCCGCGGTGCTGTGGCCAGTCGGGTGGCAAAAAAATAGGAACCTTACTTGCTTGGCGGGTGGCAAAAAATAGGAACCTTATTAAGATTCAGAGGCAATAGAGTTTTCCCTTCAAGTACAGATGCTTGCGAAAACAAAGGAACTAAATTCACGCGAATCCCATACAAATTAGTACGATTCCTATTTTAAAACCTTCTAGAATACAGAGGCAGTGAGATACATTCCTAGGGAAAAGCAAGGAAATTGCCACAACAGAATCGCGAACAAAATCTCCATCCCAGGAAGGTCAGAAAACATGTCACGGTAGAGTTGAAGTATTTAACTAGGGTCATGCCATGTCAGTTCAGGTCTGCAGGCAAAGAAGGATTCAAAAAGCCTGCGCTGGCATGTCCGATTCTTCTGCGTGTGCGCTTTGTTTCAAGGAATCTTCCGATTCCAAGAGAATGAGCAAACTTTCTGGACTTCACCTGAGCATTTTGGCTTTCACGTGACTCGGCATAGATTCCCTGTTTCGCGCACAATGGCAGCTGGGTATCCGTCATCGATCCCAACTACGATGAAGGCTCAAGTTGCAGCTCTTTCTGTGTCCCTAAACCCTTTGCTACACATTTGTAGGGTTCGGATGTTGCTGCACATCCCTTCCAAAAGCAGGCCCCTAAAACCAAAACTCCGAAGCCTTAAATCGCAAAGCTCCCAACATCGTGGTAAAGCCTTACAACTCAAACCCTGAACCCTATGAAGCCCCATGAATGTTAAACCCTATTACTATGAACCCTGAAGGCGGCTGTAGTTGAGGAGTTTGGGAAGCCATTGGTTGTCAAGACCGTTCCAGTGCCCGAGCCTGGACACGGACAAGTGCTTGTGAAGGTGATCGCTTCAGGCGTGTGCCACACGGATCTTCATGTGCGAGATGGAGATTGGCATGTGAAGCCCAAGTTGCCTATCATCCCTGGGCATGAGGGCGCAGGAATTGTGGTGAAGCTGGGGCCGGGAGTGACCACGTTGAAGATTGGAGACCGCGTTGGCCATGCCTGGCTTCACGATTCCTGCGGCGGTTGCGACTACTGCCTCGCAGGATGGGAGACGGTTTGTGGCAACCAGCACCAGACAGGCTTCCTTGCCAATGGCTGCTTTGCCGAGTACACAATCGCTGAGGCCAGCTACGTGGGCCGCATCCCGTCGAACGTCAGCTTTTCGCAGTCCGCACCCATCCTCTGCGCTGGTGTCACCACGTACAAGGCTTTGAAAGAAACAGAAGCCAAGCCTGGCCACGTGGATCATGATTAGAAGTCTTTTGCATTATTTGAGTTGCATGGACATCACCCTCTCTTTCAATGTTCTCGGCCCACCCTTATCGCCAGCTTCTAGCAATGCATCCATGCATTGGGCTAGGACAGTGGGTCGCCATTATCGGAGCATGCGGTGGCTTGGGCCACGTGGGTTGCCAGTACGCGAAGGCCATGGGCCTGAAGGTTTGCGCTGTTGATTTTGGTGCAGACAAGAAGACCTACGCGATCGATACCCTCAAATGTGATGCGTACGTGGACATCAAGGACAGAACTTGTAGAGTAGTTGCGTCAGCACAAGGCCTCAAAACGAAGCCCAACAATCCCGACAATGCTAACAACATCTAACAGCGAATCACCACTTGGCATGTGAATGTTTTCTGCAGGATAAGAAGGGCGAGGAGATTGTGGCTGCTGTGAAGGAAGCCTGCGACGGTCAAGGCGCCCACGGCTCCGTGATCCTGGCTCCTGTTCCAGCCGCCTTTCGCCAAGGAGTTGACATGCTTCGGCCGATGGGGACTGCCGTGGGCATCTCCTTGCCGCCCGGCGACTTTCCTGTTGACATCTTCTCCTTGATCCTGCACCGCAAGACCGTTCGAGGCTCTATTGTCGGGACACGGAAGGACTTGAACGAGTGCCTCAGCATCTGTGCTGATGGTAAGGTTGCGTGCACTGTGGAAGAGCGAAAGCTCGAAGACATCAACCAAATCTTTGATGACATGGTCCACGGAAAGATCAAGGGCCGCTGTGTGCTTCGAATTGCCCCAGATGAGTAAGCGTCCACGGATGTGCCAAAGTCCTCGCTGCATCGCGAATGCAGCCAGCGGAACAGATTACCAAGTAGTTGGTTCCGATCGATAGTTTTGTGACAGTCTTTTGTCGCCGGACAAACCACGGCATCGACCTGTATGGTACGTGTGATGTTCTGGCATTGGTTTGAATGATGACAAAGGGGCGATTCCCGCAGCGAGTTTGGATTGCAGCGTCCAGACACCTACCATCTACCATGACAGTGTGCATTTGATCGTGTCAGCATGACTTCGGCTACTGCTGTACTCTAATCATGTGCATGCTGGCTCAGACTTTGCAGGGCTCAACGTAGCGATACTTGCGCGTGTTTGTGGCCCGATGGCGAAGCTTCTTTTCTGCAAGCTGGAGGAGTCTGTATGGTTCGTGGGCTCAGGCTACTAAAGCGGCTACTTGCTTGCTCTTGCTTGCTTTTGCTTTGCATCCTGCTTCCAACAGGGCTTCCTATACATGTCGTGAACACTGCGTCAGTTTTGGATCTGAGAGTGTGAACTTCAACCAAGGCACCGTGCAACCTGTCCTCCAAACACTGCGGGCCTGGGCTTCTGAAATTCGCAACATGGGTGAATTTGCGCCAAAGCGAAAATGCTCGCGACTCGACATGGTCCAAGTGCCAGGGGCCTTGATGTATCCCCCCGAGCGCTCGGGATATCACCGGAATGCTCCGCATCCGCGGCCGTAGTCGTTCTACTCACCCGGCCACGAGTAAGATAGCACAAGCCTTGCCGCGAGTGTGCTGCAGTGCACATCATGAATCGCATGGCACAATTCGAAGAAGAAGCTCTCAAAACGACCGGGAAAGTATAGAATGCCAGAGTACGGAGTATTGCAAAGCATCAGGCAGTACGTTGGCCGATGTTGGCCATAAACCATGCCTATACTCTTGTTCACGGTGATCAAAGGGTCGGTTCCCGTTGTTCATGCATGCAAGCGGATTGCTGCGGCGCAGAAAGAGCAAAGGACTTGAGCAGGGCTGAGACCGACCTTGCAGGTGCACGACATTGCACTCCGCGAGTGATCTCGGCTTGCATGACGGCGAAGCCTGCCAAAGAGAGACCGAGATGGAAAAGCCGGAAGAGCTCATGAATGTGCGCGAATGTGGGCCCCGTCATTTTGTAATCAGTAGCCTGCAACATAGCCACTACGTCATTCCCGTGACTTTCATTCGTGCGGGAATGTGGGGGGCGGGGGAGGGAGGGGGGGGGGGGGGGCTCAACCACAATGAGACGAGTGAGGATTTGGTGGGATCGTGCTTCCTTCCAGAGTGTTGAACCGTGGAAGACAGCTCAGCAAGCGCCAAAACCCCCAGCCATTCAAGTAAGTAAGGGGTGGACACGAATGCCCAAAACCCTGTAAAGCGATGGGAACACTTGAAAAGCGACAGCCCTGAGTGAATGAGCCGTTTGGGTGTGCCATAGCCTTGATTTTCCCAAAGCGACACCTGCAGACATCAAGCGTGGATGATTGATGCTAAAACCCGGTAAACCGATGGGAACACTTGAAAGCGACGCCCCTCACGTTGCGTCCATTAGCACCACCAGCCGGTTTTGGCAGTTGCTCAACTGATGTTAACCTTTGGACCGTAGCTTGCACTTCTGTGATTGCCATCCTCTGTCCAAATTGCCGCAGCGAAGCTGGCCCAAGACCGGCTTCTTGTCATCATGTCAGATTCAGATGCTTCCAGCGGAGCTCTGCACCAATGCACCTTGGATGAAGTGAATGAACCAGTGCCTGTGTGTTGTTGGCACATGTTGGCGGTGCAGGAACCACTCAGACCTTAGAGTCAGCAACGCTTCCTGTTGCAGGAAGCGAACTTCCAACAATGTGGCTCCTCGGAATCAAGTTGTTTGACAAAGCTTGCCGACATTGCTAACATCAGACGCGTGGTTTTCACGGCAGGTATTGAGCGTGCTTCTCTGCCTTGGCGTGCAGTCATGGAAGATTATCCAGGAGCCCGCCAGCACATGTCCATCAGCTATTCATTTGCTCTATACTTGTTCGCCTGTCCTTCCTGCCCACTTCGTCATGTAGCACATGGCTGAGCTCTTAAAGCAACAGGACCATGCCAAAGTGCAGACCGGCTCCCAGGCACCGCTTCACGAGTGGTTGACGACCGGTTCGCCCTTCCTGCCCTTCCTCGCTACATCAACTGGGCTTTTTCAGGAATCCGAAGTGTCCCAGCGTTTCGAGCAGAAGGCAGGACGGGTCATTGACGAGTTTTGGGCTTTATGCAGACATTTGGAATCCTGGAGCCCATAGTGGGGAACCCCAGACCAGCCAAGGCCGCGCAGCTGCTGGAGCGTCTGGAGAGCTCCTCACGCTGAAGGCTTATGGTTGCGGCTTCGGGCACATGGTTTCGAGCTGTTCTGGGATGATGATACTGGACTGTATCACTTTCGAAAGTCAATGATGGCGCACTTCGAGGTACGTTTTTCAAAGAAGAGACTTACACATTTTGATTTTGCAACCTGGGCCCTTCCTTTTGTTGCGTTACTTGTTTATTTTGGTAATTATGTGCGGGCGGCTCTCTCGCTCTCTCTTTTTAGGGCTTATGTTGTGTTTTTCTCTTTCTGTCCCTCTCTCTCTCTATCATGTAGATAATGCCTTGTTGACTGTGCTGAGTGCGCCGACCGTTGCTGTGTTGTGCCTCCTTTGGCTGGGCTTCAGCACGCGGTTCCTGCTGCTTCGCCCTTGTCTACCTCCGACAACTGTGTGGAAGGGCAGTGGCAGCGGCAGCAATCCCAATGGGCATGGCGAGACCCCGACAGGAAGTGCAAGGGCACTTGCCGTGCTTGCCAAGTCCAAGTCCGCAGCTGAAAGGAGGAAGCAGAACACGCACACACGCTACTGCGTGCACGCAAACACATGATTTTTACATTCGGGGAGAACCGTCATGGTCATGCACAGTACACCAAATTTGATATGGGCTCGAGGTTCAGCTTCAATTCAAGTCCTCCGTCTTGAAAGTTCAGTTAAGTCTCTCGGCTATGACTAACAGACACTAAATTAGCTAATCTCGAAAATCCATATCGTCAGCTTCCCAAGGCATCTCCGACCAAGATTTTCAGATCTTGAGCTCGAATCGGCGGCTCGACACCTCGAATATTCATATTGTCCTTTCCTAAAAGCTTCAAATGTAATATGGAAATTATGCATCCCTCTGTCCTCATATTTCCATTATTAAATTGTATGGTCTGCAGCATTCGCTTCGCTCACTTGTTTCACGCGTTTACTTTGTTCATGCGGAAATATGTTCATAAATGTGTTAAAGGGCCCCTAACGTACCTGTTGTTGAGCCCATTCACTTCGTTCATTCGTTCATCTGAGACGGTTTCCAGGGCTAGTAATAATATGTACTGTTAAGGTACCAGCTAGTGCGGATACTTTTGGAGCCGGGAATGAACGGTTGCATGGAGAGCCGAATGATGGACCGATTTTTTACTGCGTTATGTTGTCCTTTCTGTCGTCTTGTTCTCAAGAAGCATTCGGCAGCCCGCGGCCAACTTGCACAAAGAAGCATTGAGGGAACCATGGGCTCGCCAAGATTCAACAGCTGACCTAGGCAAAATCGAACGCCTTGAAGGTCAAGGCCGCCAGCCAGAGGTGGCTGAATCGCAGACAAACATAGATCAAAGTTGCATGTTTTCTGCTTGTCCGGCGCGGTCCATGTTTTCATATGCTCTCTGTGGAGGACTGGATTTGAACTGAGGTGCCGACAATTGTTACCCTGCAGTCGGATGATGCGCGTGAAGCGACTTGACACTTTCAAGGCTTAGTCAGTACTGAGTAATGACCCACTGCATGAAAAAAGCAAACTTGACCCACGATCGGCCAAGTGCACAGCTGTGGCACAATGCTTCTCACGTGTTACTCAGGCGCACAATGCATCAGCTTCCTTCAGATCGGCAGAGCTGTGCCCCGTTTGCACGCACGACTGACTGGAGCAAATTCGTGGTCAAATAGAACTCGGTTTGCGATGGTTCGTGTCCGTGGCCTCGACTTGGAGGTATGGGTGCTGGCATCATGGGCCAGCATGGGTGTGTAGATCACAGTCAGCAGTAGCCTCTGCACGCCCCAAGCAGCTAAGGTTCGAAGGGTGCGAAACATCGCGAGCCGCCGACGCGACAGCTTTTTGATTTTCATTACATTTTTACGAGATGAGTTTCTCTGAAACTTGGTCGAGGTCTAGTTGTCAGGTTATACGCTTCGTAGAGCCGTTTGCAAACTGCTTCTGGCACGCTACTGTAGCCCTTGTGGTGTAGTCCATATGGTCGAAAGCCCCTCAGGCTTGGGCATGTTTAAAGTGGAATTGCATGAAATTCAATTGTGAGGTTTCCGAGCTCTGATCCCTGTTCCTTCGCCATGACTGCGGGAATCCTGCTTGGTTCGTTTTCTTCCGCGTGCTGACGTATGGCTTAAATTCGGCACGTTCAATTGTCTGACTTCATGTTCCGGACACTGGGTGTTGATCTGCCGGACTGACAACAGACATGGAACATCAGTCAGCCCAGGGCAAAGCATAATATTGAGCAGGGCATGCCGTAGCTCACAACATCACCACCCTTGCAAAGGAGCAGCGCCGGCAAGGAAAAGTAGAACCGTTGAAGGAGACATGCTCCGTTGGGCAATGGTTCACCAAATTTTCCTGATAGGAGCCCCTACATAACCCTGCATGTCTGAAAAAGGGCCTGCAATGTCACTTTCAAAGGTTTCTTTCGACAGCTCGTCGCCTGCCCCTTCACCAACATCACTCCAACATTCAAAAAGCCCTTCTGGCATACTTTGTCGTGCCGACTTTTGTAGACACCGGTGTTTTCGTCACACGTAGACCTTACCCGGATGAACCACTCCAATTTTGTTCATTGATTTGGCTGTTGCTGGGGGACAGGATGTGGTTCCAAGGAATGCGACGACATGAGAAGTAATCAAATGAGACATCCCCCTGTTGGGATTTGTTGTGCAAGTTGGT